GGCCGTTGACTTCGGGCTCCGTCCCCTGCGGAGCGGGCAGCACCGGGTTCGGCCGCCTCCCCTCCGCGTGCTCCCCGCCCGGGGGCGCCGCTGAGTGCGGCCGGGGGGGGGGGGGCCCGGAGAGCCCCGTCAGCGGAGGAGGGCGGAGGAGGGCGGGCCGCCGGCCGGACCGGGTGCACCGTCCGGGCCCCGAACCCGCATCGGCCTGACCCCGGAGCCGGCCGCCCCCCGAGCCCGGCCGCCCCCGGAGCCCAACTGCCCCCGAACCCGCATCGGCCTGACCCCCGAGCCCGGCTGCCCCCCGAGGCCGGCCGCCCCCCGAGCCCGGCCGCCCCGGAGCCCGAACGCCCCCCGAAGCCCGGCCGCCCCGGAGCCCGGCCGCCCCCGGACCAGCGGCGCCCCCGCCCGGCACAGAGCGCGTCCGCCCTCCCCTCCTCCCGCCCGGGCCCCGCGGCCTCCGCACGGGCGCCGGGGCGCTGGGTCTGGGGGCCGGGCTCCGCCTTGTGGGCGGGGAGGGTGGAGGGTGGCACCGGCGGGAGTGGCCCTTGGGCGGCGGCCCTGCCCGGGTGCAGGGTGGGCGGGGGGCGCACGGCGGGGAGGGTGGGGTTTGCCGGGCGCCGAGAGGAAGCCGCAGCTCGGCCGATGCTGGTCAGGGGGTGTCCCGCCGCTTCTGCATTTGGGAAGTTTGCTGAGCCCTCAGCCCGGGCCTAGGCCGTCACCAGGTGGCCTTCCAGCCCAGCGAGCAGGCCGGCAGGCAGGCCGGGCGGTGTGAGAGCTGCTGGGTTTGGCCTGGAGGGCTGGGGGAGGGACCTGTTCCCTCCCCTCCTTTCCCCTCCCTTCCCCTCCCCTCCCCTCCCCTCCTTTCCCCTCCCCCCTCCCTCCCCTCCCCAGCCCAGGAGGGCACTAGGGACACCGGGCAGGCACCCTGTGGCCCAGAGATCCAGGCTTAGGGTGAAGCAGAAGTGGCTTGCTCGGTCTGTGGACTCCACGTTGATGTGCCGATGAATTCTTTTTTGTTTAATCTAGTTTGAGCTATTTCTTGCAAGGTGCCACATAAAATATCTTTATACCTTTTATTTTTTATTGATCTCAGAGATGGGAGAGGGAGAGAGATAGAAACATCAATGATGATGCCGAAACCGGTTTGGCCCAGTGGATAGAGCGTCGGCCTGCGGACTGAATGGTCCCAGGTTCGATTCCGGTCAAGGGCATGTACCTTGGTTGCGGGCACATCCCCAGTAGGGGGTGTGCAAGAGGCAGCTGATCGATGATTCTCTCTCGTCGATGTTTCTAACTCTCTATCCCTATGTCTTCCTCTCTGTGAAAAATCAATAAAATATATTTTAGAAAAAAAAAAAGAAACATCAATGATGAATCATTAACCAGCTGCCTCCTGCACGCCCCCTCCTGGGGACTGAGCCTGCAACCCCAGCAATGTGCCCCTGACTGGAATCAAACCGGGAACCCTTCAGTCCGCAGCCCAACACTCTACCCACTGAGCCACCCCAGCTAGGGCTCCTTATACCTTTTAAACAAAGCTCAAAGGCTTCCTCTGATAGCGGTAACCGGAAAAAAAAGGAAAAAACCAGGGAAGACCTCTGACTGGCTACCCCTCAGACACGTGACCACCCAGGGGCCGGAAGGAAGTTGGACAGACCCAGCCTTCATGGTCCCCCAAGTTAAGGGGCCATCTTCACCCCCGTTTGCCAAGGATGACATGGAGGAATGGAACACAGGTCACTCTGCATGGCGCCCGGGACCAGATCTAAACACCGCTGCCATTCCGGGCGGCCGGACCGCGGGCGGCTGGTTTGCTCAGGGCAGCGCCCCTGCCTCGTGTGCAGGAGCCGGTGACCGCGCCTCCCCGCCACGCCGGCCCCTTCCTCACAGACGCACCGCACCGCGCACTGCGGGTCACCGCTCCCCTGCTCCCCGGGACTTGGTGGAGCAGGGACGGGACCTCCGTTCCAGGGAGAAATTCTTTTTTAAAAAATACATCTTTAAACAATATATACTTTTGCCAAAACCGGTTTGGCTCAGTGAATAGAGTGTCGGCCTGAGGACTGAAGGGTCCCGGGTTCGATTCCGGTCAAGGGCATGTAGCTTGGTTGCGGGCACATCCCCAGTAGGGGGTGTGCAGGAGGCAGCTGATCAATGTTTCTCTCCCATTGATGTTTCTAGCTCTCTATCGCTCTCCCTTCCTCTCTGTAAAAAAATCAATAAAATGTTTGTTTTTTACAAAAATATGCTTTTATTAATTTCAGAGTAGAACAGGGGGAGAGAGAGAAATGTCAGTGGTGAGAGATAACATTGGCTACCCACAATCTGGGCATGTTGATCCAGAATCGAACCGTGATCTCCTGGTTCGTAGGTCCACACTCAACCACGGAGCCGCTGGGGGGAGAGGGGTGCGGGGCGGAGGCGAGGGGGGGTTCTAGGTCAGACCTCCTCCCAGCACCCATTTGCTGGGCTTCGCCTGGAGCTCTGTGCGGCCTCTCCTTCCTGTCTGGAATGCAGATCCCTCTCACTTTGCGGAACCATCCATGCGGGACCCGTCTCTCAGAAAGAGGGCCGAGGGGCGGGTCTCTGTTTTAAAAAGCACTTTGCACGGGAGCGAGGGAGCACACCCTGTCCGGCGGCGCGGTTTTTCCGAGGCGCCCCCACCCGGCAGGGGTGAACTCTCCTCGCCTCTGTGTCTGCAGGGCTCAGCCCAGCCCAGCGGCGGGCACACACACCCAGTAAAGCAGCGTTCACCGCGGCTGTGGGCACGAGAATGCGGTGTGGCCCGTTCACAGCCGGCCGGAGGGGAGAGAGAGAGGAGGCGCGGGGAGTCCAGGCGGCTCTCCTCCGGCTTCTTCCTGCTGCTCCCCGCCCCATTATCAGAGCCCCCAGCCCAGCAACCCCCTGCCCCTTTGTGGCCGCAGCAATCACTCCCTGCATTGCCAGTGCTCCGGACCGAAGGATGGAGCGGAGGGAGGGGAGTGCCGAGCGGCGGCGATGCTCCAGCTCTATCACCTTTGCTCTCGCCGTGGTTACGAAGCCGGAGCCCGGAGCGCAGTGCTCCCCGAGCAGCCGACTCCGCACGCATGAGCCGGCGGCGGGGCGGGAGGGAGGGGACGCAGGCCCCGCCCGGGTCTTGGCTCTTGTTTTCTCCCAAAGGAATGTCCTGCCGGAGCCCGGGCGGTGCTGCCTGGAACCGTGTTAACCCCTTAGAGCAACGTGTCCAGGCCAAGTGCGGGGAGACAGCGGCGTGCACCCAGGCGGCCAGCAGACCAGGTCCCCCTGCCCTGGGGGCCAGGACCGGGGACCCCGCAGGCCAGGAACCCCGCCTGGGGGCCAGGACCGGGGACCCCGCAGGCCAGGGCTGCTTTGCTGCTGTCATAGGCCGGTTCCCACCAGGTTTCCCAGTCTCCCCCCCCCACCCCCTACAGCCACTGCTTTTGGTTGTTCACATGGATTGCAGGGCACAGCCCCTGCCTCTCCACAGGCTGTGGGAATGGTTTGGATCTAACTTTTTAAAAATATATTTTTATTGATTTCAGAGAGGAAGGGAGAGGGAGAGAGAGACATCCATGAGAGAGAGAGAACGGTCGATCAGCTGCCTCCTGCGCGCCCTCCACTGGGGATCCAGCCTGAAACCCGGGCCTGTGCCCTGACCGGGAACGGAACCGTGACCTCCTGGCTCATAGGTCGATGCTCAGCTGCTGAGCCACACAGGCTGGGACGGATCTCTTTCCCTTTTAAGGCCAAGTCATTGCACTGCGTGGACGGACACTCTGCTCACCGTCCCCCTGGCTGTGGACGCCTGGGCTGCCACCCCTTCCGGCTCTCCTGGTGGAGTGCTCCGAACGCGGTGGGCAAGCACCCTGAGTCCCCGCCTTCGCGCGCTGGGCACATTCAGCCTTCCTAATTACAGTCCAGTATCACTTTCGTGGCCAGTGGAAAATCACCGAGTCAGAGCTCTGGAGGGCCCCTTGGCACACCTACTGCCCGGCCTTTCTCCCCGAGTCCTCCCCACCCGGTGGGACCCTCCTCTCCCCCCACAGCGGTTCCTGGGCTGCAGCCCCCCCGGCAGCCCCTCCAAAGCCTCCTTCTGGAGTGAACCAGCGGAGTGCAGTGGGTGCCCGAGGACACCCTGGCCTAAGGGCATTTGGGGTGCACATATATACCCCAAATGTAAACTCAGAGGTGCCGTCAGGGATGCTCGGGGGCCCCGGTGTTTTCCCAGATGCCAGCTCTCCGCTGGGGTGTGGGGGTGTGTGGGTAGGAGGCTCAGTGACCCGGCTCCTGCTCCTCGGTGACCCTTGGCTTCCGAACCGGCCTGGGGGCCTCGCTGGCTGACAGATGGGCCCATCACCCACCAGAGTGCCCTGGAGTGACTGTGTCCCCCAATTCCTTCGGAAACCCTCACTCCATGGAGTTGCATCCGGAGGTGAAGTCACGAGGGTGGGGCCTGCTGCCCAGGATTAGCGTCCCTGTGCGAGGGAGCTGACTCCAGCGCGAGCAGGGCTGACACGTTTTATTCCTCCCCCATCCTGTCCTGCCCACGGCCAGTGAGGGCAGGCGGCGCCCAGGGTCCGGACAGTCACCCATGGGGTATGCCGTGTGTGTGGGGGGGCTGGCAGGTGGGTCTGAGGGCCGTTCCGGGGCCTGGTCACGCAGCCAGAGTCACAGTCTCCGTGGGTGTGGGCGTGGCGTGCTGGGCGGAGTGCGTGCTGATGCCCGTCCAGCACGCGAGGCTGGCCCGAGCACCTGGTGACCCGCGGAGGCAGGTGGAACCGGGGTGCCGACACCCAGGACAGAGGGGCACTGGGCGGAGGAGAGGGGGAGCAGCGATGGTTTCTCCACCAGAGAAAGGTGCTGCTGTGGCCGGCCGACCGGGGACCGGCTGGGACAGAGTAAAAACCTCTCTCTCTCTCTCTCTCACACACACACACACACACACACACGCACACACACACGCACACACGCGCACGGGCTCAGTAAAAAATGCGCGGCTGTCACACGAAGCTCTGCCGGCCCCGGTCCCCCTCGAACGCGGAGGCGCCCGCCCTGCCCCGCCGGCCGAAGTCGATGAAGATGCCCTCGCTGTCCGAGTCCGCGGACTCCAGGATGCGGTCCACCATCTGCTCGGGGCTGGGGGCCGGGGAGCCGCCGGCGGGCCCGGGCCCGGGGGGCCGCGGCGGGGGCTGCAGTCTGCTGGGGCAGGGCCCCGACTGGCTGCCCGGGGAGGGCGCGCGGTCGTCCGCGGGGCCGGGGCCGGGGCCGGGCGCGTCGGGGCAGGAGGGCATCTCGGAGACGGAGTGCCTGCGCACGCCCGCGCCCCCGCCCGCCGCGCCCTCCGCCTCGTGCTCGGCCACGGGGTTCAGCAGCGGCGTGTTGTAGCTCTTGGAGCGCACCACCGGGGTCTTGGCCAGGACGTCCCCCGAGCGGGACCGGCGCAGCAGGTGCTTCTCTGCGGGCAGATGGACGGACGGACGGGGGCGTCAGCTCGAGGCCGGGGGAGGGGGACAGGGTGTCCCGGCCCTCCCTCCGGCCAGATCCGAGGCCCCTCCTGAGCGTGGGACTGGGGACGGGACGGCCAGCGGGCGCAGAGGCCGGGGCGGGAAGAGCGATGAGAACTGGGCCGTCGCCACCAGATGCCACGGGTGAACTGTGACCCCCAATTCCTCCCGAAGCCCCCCCCCCCGGAGGTGTAGCTGGAGGTGGGTCTCTAAGGTTACGAGGTCACGGGGGCTCCCACCTCCCGCCTCCCCCGAGGCGGCCTCTGGGGCAGCAGGTCCCGGTGGGGCGTGGGCGTGGGGGCCTGCTCAGGCCGGGGGGCTGGGGGCTAAGACTGGCCGATGTCTCCCCCCAGCCCCAGACAAAGCCAAGAAGTCTCCTCCTGGGCAGATCAGGCCGTCCTCAGAGCTGCAGTCTTAACGTGTGCGAGAGTGGGAGGGCGCGGGAGGAGACCAGCCCACGTGGGAGGGTCTGGGCAGGGGTGGGGGTGGGGATAGGAGAGGGTAGGTGCCACATTGGGGCAAGCAGCAAGGGGCCCTTCAGCATGAGGTCAGGGCTGGGGTTTATTCCGATCCCAGGAGCCCTGGGGGGCGGGGAGGACCCAGGGTGACTGCCCAGGGGCAGGTCTCCACTCCCACTCAGGACCCGCAGTTCCGCAGAGTGCCACCAGGTGGCAGGGCTGAGTGTGCGGAGCAGCTCACCCCAATTCTCATCGCTCTTCCCGCCCCTCCAGCCGCCAGGGTCCCCGGGGCGGAGACGTGCCTGGCGTGGGGGGCTCAGGACGAGGATGGTCCTTACACTGCTGTCCCCTCGCTGGGGCCGGGGTGTTCCCCCTCCCCCCAGGCCGGGCTCCTCCGGGCACTTCGGCCGGCAGCCACGGCCAAGGCTGGGCTCCCCGGAGCTCCCTGCCCGCAGCCTCAGGCCACCGGGCACAGGTCCTCCTGGCACTCATCCGGGGACGGTGCACTCCGTGGTCTGCCTCTCCTGGCGGACGGGAGCCTGAGAGGGGGGCGTGGTCTCGACTGACCCCCAGGCCCAGGCGCAGGCGCACAGTAGGTGCTCAGTTTCCATTGGGGAGTGAACGGTGGGAGCAATGGCTGTTTCTGCGGACACGCCAGGCAGCCCAGGACGCCAGCGCCCCCACCCCACTCCTCCCGGGGCCTCCCCAGGTGAGCTGGGTTTCTGGGGCTCGGCCACGTGCTGTCCACTCTGCCCGGCCACGTCCTGACGCCCGGGCTGGGCACGGACCTGGCTCCTCGGGGCAGAGGACGACATCCCCACGGCGCCTGCTCCGGCCCCGCAGCCGTGAAGGAGGGACCCAGGGGACCGTCTCAGAGCCCGGGCCCGGGCAGCGGAGGGTGTGCCCGCGGCCCCGCGCCCGCCCAGGCCGGGGACCTACCGAGGACGCAGGAGTGTGCAAAGGAGCCCTCGCCGGAGCAGAGGCCGTAGGTGCCCAGGTAGGGCGACACCACCTTCTGCACCAGCGTCTCCAGGCGCAGGTAGTCCTTGGTCACACCGCGGGCCTCGTGCACGCCCTGCGAGAGGAGGGAGGTCACCGCACAGCTCCGCCGCTCACCCGAGCTCGGCTCACAGCCCCCTCCAGCGCCCTGCCCTCCCCCAGCGCCCTGCCCTCCCCCAAAGCCCCCTCCAGCGCCCTGCCCTCCCCCCAAAGCCACCTCCATCGCCCTGCCCTCCCCCAAAGCGACCTCCATCACCCTGCCCTCCCCCCAAAGCCACCTTTCTGCGCCCTGCCCTCCCCCAATGCCCTCCCCTCCCCCAACACCCTGCCCTCCCCCAACGCCCTGCCCTCCCCCAAACCACCTCCATCACCCTGCCCTCCCCCAAAGCCACCTCCATCACCCTGCCCTCCCCCCATGCCCATCAAGACCCCCTCCCAGCCCTGGCTGGTTTGGCTCAGTGGATAGAGCATCAGCCTGTGGACTGAAGGGTCTTGGGTTCGATTCCTGTCAAGGGCACATGCCTAGGTTGCAGGCTCAGCCCCCAGTGGGGGCGTGCAGGAGGCAGCCAATTGATTCTCTACCATCATTGATGTTTCTCTCTCTCTCTTCCTTTCTTCTCTGAAATCAAAAACATGTTATTTAAAAAAAAAAAAAAAAAAGACAGCTCTTCCCAGCCGCCCTCGAGCTGCGGCCTTAGGCATGGCCCTGCTCTGAGCCCCTCTGCGCTGCCCCCGGCAGCTGTGGTCTGGGCGACAGAGGTGCCCGGGGACAGGACCCTGTGGCCAGGTGCGTTTGGGCACCCTGCGGTCCGCCCCTCGGAGAGCCCCCATGCGGCTCCCGGAGGCTCTGACGTCCTGCAGGGGCAAGCTCCCCCCCCCCCCCCCCCCGGCCCGGCCTCACCCCCGGCCCGGCCACCCCCCGGCCAGCCTCACTCCCCGCCCGGACACACTCCCCCCCTCCCCCCCACCTCACTCCCCGTCCGACCTCACCCCCCGCCCGGCCTCACCCCCCGCCCGGACACACTTCCCCCCTCCCCCCCACCTCACTCCCCGTCCGGCCTCACTCCCCGCCCGGACACACTCTCCTCCTCCCCCCCACCTCACTCCCCGTCCGACCTCACCCCCCGCCTGGCCCTCACCACCCGCCCGGCCTCACCCCCCGCCCGGCCTCACCCCCCGCCCGGACACACTCCCCCCCTCCCTCCCACCTCACTCCCCGTCCGACCTCACCCCCCGCCCGGCCTCACCCCCCCGGCCCGGCCACCCCCCGCCCAGCCTCACTCCCCGCCCGGACACACTTCCCCCCTCCCCCCCCCACCTCACTCCCCGTCCGGCCTCACTCCCCGCCCGGACACACTTCCCCCCTCCCACCTCACTCCCCCCCCCCCCCCGCCGGTCGGCCTCACCCCCCGCCCGGCCTCACCCCCCCCCCCCCCGCCCGGCCTCACCCCTGCCCGTGAGGAGGAACTGTCTCTGTGGGCGAAGCCCAGGGCGCACAGTAGGCCCTCAACACATGCTGCCCAGCAGCCGTGACTTCAGGCATCTGGAACTTGAGAGCAGTGGGGACAGGTTCACTGGGACAAGGTCATGCCAAGTGTGGGCCAAGCCAGGGCAGAGCAGAGCCTGTGGCTGGGGAGGCACCCACAGCAGCAGGAGGGCAGTCTGGGTGGCCGGGGGCAGCACCACCCGCGGGAGGGGCTCCTGGGGTCCAGGCGTGGGGACCTTACTCCTTGGCTCTAAATCCTAGCCGAGTGGCGCCCGCTCCCCAGGGGCATGCTGGGAGCTTCACATCGACTTCTCCCCGATATCCCTGAACCTGCCTGCCAATGGGCGGCTTGAGAGACAAGGCCTCCAGCTTCAGCCCGGCCAGGTTTACTGGACACCCCCGGAACCCCTGCTTGGCCGGCCTGCTGCCCCGGAGCTGCCAGGCCACCTCAGCTCCCGGCTGTGCCTAATCCCAACCCTGACCCTCAGCTCCCAGCTGTGCCGCCTCCACAGCCACCGGCCACCCTGCTCTGGGCTCCCCGGCTGCCCTGGCCGCAGGCCCACCCGCACTGATCCTGCTGACCAGGATCCCCCCGTGCAGGGCGTCCACACTGAGCAGGCCGGACTCCGGTGGCCGGGCTGCTGGCCTTGTCAGCTGCAAGCACGTGGCTCCTGGCGGGGACACGGTTTCCCTGCCGGTGCCGCCCAGGCCTGGGACGGAGCGGAGCCCGCACAGGGCTGGCTGTTGGCCCCTACAGGGCCCGGGTGGAGCCGAAAGGCTGAGCCTGCAGTGGAGGCTGCTGGGGGCCCTCAGACCCTGTCCTGGGCAGGGCACTCACCCCGGCTGCTAGGAGTGTGGCTGCCCCCCCCCCCCAAACTGCTCTCTAACCCCCCCCAGAGCTGTCGGGGCCCTGTGGGGCGTGGGGGAGGCGGCTGGTCCCGGTCACGCTCCTGGGCTCCCGTGGGACCAGGCTGAGGCCGGCCTTCCAGGAACCCGGGCTCTGCCCAGCACCCCGTCCTGCCCCTAGTGTGCCAGCTGCGAGTCTGCCCTCTTCACGCCCGCCCCAGGCTCCTTCACGCCCGCCCCAGGCTCCGCCTGTGACCCCTGTGGGCCCAGGCCCCCGTCTCGGCTCTGCCTCCGGGGCCTGGCCTGAGCCACTGCCTGCCCGGGCCCAGCATGCAGGGGCATGCTGGGAGCTTCACATCGACTTCTCCCCGATATCCCTGAACCTGCCTGCCAATGGGCGGCTTGAGAGACAAGGCCTCCAGCTTCAGCCCGGCCAGGTTTGACTGGACACCCCCGGAACCCCTGCTTGGCCGGCCTGTTGCCCCGGAGCTGCCAGGCCACCTCAGCTCCCGGCTGTGCCTAACCCCAACCCTGACCCTCAGCTCCCAGCTGTGCCGCCTCCACAGCCACCGGCCATGGCGTGCACCCACCTGTAGCACCAGCAGCATCTGCACGATGGCGGGGGGCACGCGGGCGTGGGCGCGGGCCAGCGCGTCCTCCAGCTTCACGCTGAGCGTGATGGCGTCGCGGAAGTGCAGCAGGGCCAGCTGGCGCACCGACGGCTCCTTGCCCTGTGGACACAGCACGCCGCCGGTCACGGGCGCCCCAGACACAGGGCGGCGACCGCTGGCCTGTCCCACCCAGAGCCCCCACTGTGCGCTGGGCACGGCCTACTGCGTGCTGTTCAAGCTTTGCAGGGCCCTTCGGAAGGAACCGCCCTATGTCCACCCTGTGGGTGGGAGGCGGGTTCTGAGGGGCCGGGGGCAGCCTGGAACGGCAGCGCAGGCAGGAGTGCCCCTCCCCAGGCCGGGGGTCACGGCGGCCGGGGGGCCCGGGCCGGGGCGCACCTGCACGGGGTAGAAGATGGCCTGCAGCGTGGGCAGCACGTCGCTGAAGAAAAAGTCCCACGTCTCGGCCAGCGAGTCCAGCAGCTTCTGTCCTGTGGGCACAGGGGCCGTCACCGCCGCCCGTCCCTCCCGAACGGCGGCGGAACCTCACCCTCCCAGGCTGGACCGTCTCCCGCTCGCAGGGGCGGCGCTCAGGCTGGCCGGGGCCAACGTGAACCTTCCTGGGCCTCGGTTTCCCCACTAAGATGAACGAAGCGAGCTCCACAGGCCTGGTGCAGAGCGAGTGCTGGTGTGCTCGCCGTGGTCCCCGGTCCTGCCCACACCAGCCCACGGGGGCCAGACTCACACAAGTGCACCCCTTTCCCGCCCCAACAGGAGCTTCTGCTCATGTCTTGTCTCCTCATCTCATTCACTAACCGCCCCGCCAAGGAGCTGAGGAACCCACCCACCACCCGACTCTCCTCCCCTCCCTCTCACCCACCCGTCTGTCCACCGGACAGATGTCTATAGGACGTCTACACGGCGCCAGACCCTGCACTGGGGACCTAACAACCCCCGCCGTCCCCCTCCCCCCCCATGACCGGGAAGAGGGCGCTGGACAGCCGTTAGGACGATGGCACGGGGCCACCGCCCTGGACGAGGGAAGGGAAAGCCTCCGAGAGGTTCAAGGTCTTTCTCAAGGGCCTGGGAGCCAGGGAGACCATCTCCAGCCACAGCAACATGCCCCGGAGGAGGGGAGAGCCGTGATCCGGGTGAGTTAGGGTGTTTGCCGTACTGACTGGCACCCGGGAAGCAGGTGGTCCGGCTGGCCCTGAGGTGGAGGGTGCCATACCTGGGGGACGGGGCAGCCGAGGGCCCCACGCCGGCCCGGGACCCTAAGGCAATGCCAGACCTCAGCCCGCCCGCTGGGAAGAGCAGAGTTCGGACGAGGGGCTGCAGGGGCAGGAGGAGCCGGCCCCACCCGCAAGCCCACGAGGCACCAGCAGGGGCGTGGTGGGCATCTCTGGGCGAGGAGGGGCCAGTGCCCCCCCCAGGCCTCCCAGACTGCACTGCTTCTGCCTGATCGCTGGAGGTTTCCATGGGAACGAGTCAGTCAGAGCCTTGGTCTCTCTTCTCACTTCCTTGTACTCTGGGCCCATGCCCTCCGCCCGGAAAGGCCTGTGGGTGCTGGGCCGGGAGGGGCCCTGGCTGGGGGGCCCCGGGAGGGGGCCTGGCTGGGGGGGCCCCGGTAAGGGGCCTGGCTGGGCCACCCAGGGAGGCCCAGGCAGCCTAGTGGGCGGTGCCGGCTCCTTGCCCAGCAGCCAGCTCCTGTCCGCCCCGGCCCACGTGGGTCTGTGGCTGGACAGGTGGGTGCTGCGGCCCCGGCAGGTCTGCCTGAGCACAAAGGTCCCATCGCCGGCCGCGGGGCGCCCTGGCGTGGGCCGGGCCGGCGTCCGCCGGGCTCAGGACACCTCCGCCCCGGAGGGAAAGGCACGGGAGCAGACGCTGCCGCACGGAGCCCAGGCCCGGCGGACCGCATGCTGGCCGAGGCCCGGATCTCCGCAGGGGACCGAGGTCGGGGGGGGACGGTCAGGCAGCACTGAGCTGGAACTCTGCTGTGGGGCCCCAGGGGAGCCGCACCCTGAGCCTCAGCGTGTTTCTCTGTAAAATGGGTGCAATCACTGTCCCCCTGCGCGGGGCTGAGAACAGGTCCCGGCGAGTGTGGCTTTGTCACTATGACACTCAGCGGCCCATGGCAGTGGCTGAGGCCCAGGGGGCAGCCAGCCTTCCTTTGCCAAGTGCCGAGGCTGGCTCTGCGGCCGGGGTGCGGCTCAGGCCTCAGCCCGGCTTGGGAGTCCCCAGGGACCGCGATGACCAGGGTTGGCTGCTGAGGGGGCCATCCTGGCTGCGGCTGGAGTCCACTCCCTCCTAGCAGCCCTCGTGCTGAGACCACCCGCCCACAGCCTGGGACGCGTCCCGGGGGGAGCCTCCACCTCCGGGCTGGCCTCCAGGCTTCTCATTTGCAGGAATCGCTCTACTTGGGAGCCCACGTCCAAGGCCTCCATGGAGGCGGAGACAGGAGCCGTGCTGGGGGTCCGGGGCCGTCCCAGGGGAGGCCACCCGGTCCAGCAGAGCCCCGGTGAGGACGTGGCTGGGTGCCGGCAGCCGTCCCTGGGAAGAACTCTCCCTGGGACCCAAACCGGGGTGGGAGGCTCTCCAGGCTGTTCTCGGGGTGGCAGGCCGGTGACTGTTCCCTTTGCAGAGCCGAAGGGGGCCAGGCGCCGTCTGGAACAGACTATATTCCGAGGCTCTACTCAAGGGCCACCGCCTCCACGCAGGCCTCCTGGATTGCCAGTGAAACCAATCCCTTCCCCCTGACACGCAGCACACGGACTTCCACCACCTGGTGTCCCGTGGCTGTGAGGCCCGTCTCCTCCGTCCCCAGGTCCCCAAGGCCACCCGGGCTGGCACGTGCCGAGCGTGTGGATGGAGGATGACGGACCCGAGTCTGAGACGGGGACGGAGCCAGAGGACGGGCTTCCTCTGCGGCTGGAGAACAGCCCCGGGCCTGTCCCCGAGGTTGGGGGGGGGGTGGGGGGGGGACGGGGCGGGCTCTCCTTGCTGGTGGCCTGGTGGACACGGTGCTGCGGGCAGGCCTCCACCAGCCACACAAAGCTCCCCTTCTCCGAGAGCCCACTCCCCGGGGCTGGCGCTGGTGGGAGGCGGCCACGGGAATGTGCCGAGTCAGGAGAGGGGCGTGGGCGGGCGTCTCCGCCAGGTGCCAAACCCTCCCTGCCCGGCCTGCGGGCTCCCCGCGGCCTCCTCCGGGAAGCTGGCCCGAACCCCGGCCCCACAGCTGAGGTCCCTGTGCCCCTTCCCGGCTCCTGCCTCCGCACCCACTCTGCCCGGGGTGAGGGGAGGGCGGGGGTTGTGGAAGGAGCGGGGATGCAGCTCGGAGTTCATTCAGAGCTGCCAGGCCTCAGTCTGCTCCTCTGCAAAATGGAGCGACACCCCTTCTCTCCCCGGACAGAGGGAGGACTTGAGGAGGCGTCTGGAGCAGCGGAGAGAAGAGTGTGGCTGGAGCCGTGGCCTGGGCGCCCCCGAACCCCACCGTGACTCAGTTTCCCCTCTGTTCAGGGGCTACAACAATGGTACCTCCTGCACAGGGTGCTGGGGGACCCAGAGGGTTAGAGTCAGGAAGCATGTGCTCTGTGCCCCGTGCATAGTAGGTGCTCAACAAACACTCACGGAACTGACCCCAGCGGGTGCTCACGGAGGCGTATCGACTGAGCCGACTCTCGCATCCCCTCACCCTCCCTAAGGAGGCCCCCCTTCGGCGGTGGCCCGGGGCCCGCGGCCATTGGGAGGCTGAGGGGGTGGGACCGGGCACGCCCCCACCCCGCTGAGACTCAGGGCCTGGAGGAGAGGGTGGGCCGCCTGCCATCACCGCACTGTTCCCGGGGTGGGCAATGGGAGCCGTGGCCCAGAGGCCCCCCGGGTGGGTGTGGCCTTAGAGAGAACACTCCCAGCATGCCCGGCAGGGAGCGCCCCCCCACAGCTGCTCCCCGGGGCGTCAGTGACCCCTTCAGGCCACTTTCCCTCGGGCCCAAAGACCCGTGGTGCCCGGCTGCGTGGGCGTGGGTGAGGCAGGGCCTTCTCCCGACACCTCTCGGGCCTCTGGGGGGCAGAGGCCCCGCAGTGAGGTCCCTCCTCAGCCCGCTGTCCCGGACCATCATTTCTGTCCCTCCGAGACCTCCCGACCAGGAGGCCTGTGTCCCCCCCGAGCCCTGGAAGCCCCCCCGAGGCTGGCAGTCCCGGGCCCACGGGCACCTGCTGTGCCCCTCCCCGAGGAGCCACGGTGCCACAGCCACGCCAGCAGCGGCGGGCTCAGCTCACGCCGGCCGCCACTCACCCTCGTAGAAGCGGATCTTGTCCCGCAGGATGACCATGCCCTTCGTCAGCAGCTGGTTCTGGAAGGCACACGGAGACGCCGTCACCGCCTGGGGGTGCCGGGCTTCCCGGGGGGCAGCCTGGACCCAGCGGGAGGGGCTCCCCGACATACCGGCCACGGAGCCTGACCCTCAGCTCGCCCTGGGAGGACACCGGCCGCTGACTCAACCAGGGTCCTCACGGGACAGGACGGGGGCCGCAGGGACCACCCCAGAGACAGGGGGCGCCTGGAGCCTCCGAGAGCCGGCAGGCAGGCGGCCTGCACCCCCACGGCCGGGGGTGGGGGGGCGCTGGAGCACGCAGGGCCGCGCCAGGGTCTCAGCTCCATTAACCCGGCCAAGAGGTGCCCCCATGCCCACCCACGGGTAAGGGGACAAGCGGGGTGCAGACAATGGGGTGGTGCTCGGCTGTAAAGGGAACGAGGCACCCCACCTGCCACAGCAGGACCCGCTGTGCTCAGCGAAGGAAGCGGACAGAGGCCATGTGTGAGACCCCCGCCATGAAAGGGGGTGTGAAGGGAAGGGGAGGGGCGTGGGGCTGATGGTAAACTGAGGTGTCTCTAGGGCTGAGGGAACAATCTGGAACTGACAGTGGAGAAGGCCACAGGGCTGTGACCGCACTAAAAACCCCGGTGCTGGGCAGTTGGCGCGTGGGTCACGCCTGACAGAGCTGTGTGACCGGCTGGTCCCGCGTGTCAGCAGCTCTGCAGGCCCGCTGCCCAGATGGGGGCCACGAGGGCCCCGAGGGGCAGCGCCTGGGCCAGAGGGCCTTGGCGACATGATCAAATACCGCGGCTCAGGGCACCGGGGCTGTGCGACGACCCAGCATGCACGCCGGGCCCGAGGGGATGGTCCAGGAGGAGGTGAGCACCGTGCTAGCACCTCCCGAGTTTATTACTGAACCTTCACAACCGCCAGTGGTGGCAGATGGGGAAACTGAGTCATGACTGGTACCTAGTGCTCCATGGACCCACTGAGGCGCCTGTCCTTTCCGGCCAGCTCAGGAAGCAACCCCAGCTGGGCCAGAGAGTGGGACCTCCCACTTGGCCAGGGGACCTCCCACTTGGGCAGGGGACCACCCACCTGCCGGCGGGACCACCCACCTGCAGGTACTCGGTGAAGAAGGACCCCAGCTCTGTCTTCAGCAGCTGCCTGTGGGGAGGGGGGGGCAGTGCGGAAGAGGGGTCAGAGACCGCTCAGTGGCAGCGGCGGCCCCTGGGACCCCGATCCTGGCCCAGGAGCGGCATGTTCCAGGAGGCACGGCCTGACCTCATCCAGGAGCTTCGCGAACCGAGGGGGAAACTCGGCTCGGGGGCGCTGGATGGCTCGTCACGGGCTCTCGTGGGATCGAAGCCAATGGCCAATCACGGATTCGATGCCAATTAATTCACTAACTTAAGGTGCCCCAGGATGGGGAGGAGCTGGGGCGGGGCTGTCCAGAAGGACCCGCAGGCCCTGGAGTCGGGGGCCTAAGTCCCGGCTCCAGTGACTAGTCCTCTGATCTTGAGCGACCCCTGACCTCTGTGCCTCAGTTTCCTCACCTGTGAAATGGGGTGGTAAGGTGCCCGTTTCTCGGGCTGTGCAGTGTGAGGCATGAAAAGCGGGGCAGGCGGCTGGCCCAGAGCCAACTCTCAAAAAAAACAAGGCCCTGTGACCTGACAGTCCCGCACTTCGCTCTGAGCTGGCTCAACGGGCCGCCCAGGCTGGCTGGCGTGGCTCGGAGGTGGAGCGTCGACCTATGAACCAGGAGGTGAAGGGCACGTGCCCGGGTTGAGGGCTCGGTACCCAGTGAGGGGCGTGCGGGAGGCAGCCGATCGATGGCTCTTTCTCATCACTGATGCTTCTATTTCTCTCCCCCTCTCCCTTCTTCTCTCAAATCAATAAAATATATATATTTTTAGAAAGACGTACTGAACTAAGTACTGGCAACGCTGTGGTAAATAAAAAGATTGTCTTTGTCTAGAAAAGAGAAGAAGTTGCCCCAAACAGCCTAACGGGCCCTCCCCTGACCTCTCCCTCCTTCTCGGGTAAGGATCACGGGCCGGCAGGGGTGCTGGGGCCCAGGGTGCATCTCTGCGACCCCACCCCGACACACACCTCGGAGGGAGGCCCTGCTCTATCCAGTCCCCGAGGGCTGGTGACGAGGCACGTGGTCTGGTTTAGGGTGTCCCCCTCCCTTTTCTCCGTTTATGCTGCGGGAGGGGAGGGGGCAGACCCTGCGGAGGGGAGGGGGCGGACACTGCGGGAGGCCAGCCCGTGCTGGGTGGTTTGCTCAGGAATTTAGAAGCATTTCCTCTGCTCTGTTGTTTACACAGCAGGTCCCTCAGGCCTGGACAAACCTGCTCCCATCAGAGGCATATCAGGACCACGGCTGCGCGGCCCCTTCGGCACCCCGGGGGCTTCTGCCCCCCATCTCCCCTCCCACTCTCTACCCTCCCCCCCCACTGGCCGGAGGAGCCTGGGAAAAGGTGAATGGGTCGCACGTGGCCTGCTCTCACACTTCCCCGGCCCTCCCTCCCGGCCTGGGTCTGTCTGTCTACAGGGGCCTCTCAGCTCTGTCCTGCGGGGGGTGGGGGTACCCCTGTCCCAATACCTCCGTCTGTCCACACCCGCCTCGACCTCAAAGGCGGAAGGGAACACACGGGCAGCACATGCCTCCCTGTAGCGGCTGTGTGACCCTGGGCCAGTCTGCGACCTCTCTGAGCTCCGGCGCCTCCACCAACACCCAGCCCCTGGCAGCCCCTGGCCTCGCAGTGCCGGGGGCCGGTCCTGGGCTCCTTCCCCGCGCTCTCAGGAAATGAGGGCCATCAGGAATGCCGCTCCCGGCACGGGCAGGTAGTCCTCCTTTCACAGAATAAACGCCCTACCAGACGTTCCGACAGCGGGGATGTGGGCGCTATCTTAACCCTGACCAGATGTCCGCGGGGGGAGGGGGGGGGCGGGCGGCGTAGCAGGGCCAAGGGCCATGGTGTCACTGCGTCGCAGCCTCAGGTGGGATCTGGGTGAGGCTGGTGGACGGGCTGGGGCTGGGAGGGGCGGGGGGGGGCTGGCTGGGCCTCCCCCTGGCTCAGCCCCCCCTGCCCTCACAGCCTGGGCCTGGGCCTGGGGAGCACTCACCTGACGCCCTCGTTGAGGATGAAGAGCTCCTGGTCGGGCAGCCCCTTGCGCTGGAAGACGGCGATCACCCCGTTGTGGATGCTGCAGGTGGGAGAGGGGAGCTGTGCCCAGACCAGACCCCCGGCTTCCCGGACCCCCCCCCCCCCCCGGCCTCCCGGCCCTCCTCCTTCCGCCCGTCTCCACTGCAGCCTTCCTGCTCGGTCGGTCGGGGGACAGGCAGGCTGCCCAGAAGCAGGGGTGGGCTGTCCCAGAGGGACCCCGTCCACACCCGAACCTCAGTTCCCACCTCAACCCCACAATCCTGCGCCCCAGCCTCCCCTGTGCGTCGGGCCCGGCCCGTCACCCCTCCAGGACGTCCTGTGCACCCCCCACTCTGCTTCCCTGCCCGTGCTCCTGAGCCCTCCCAGCCCGGGGTGCACTCCTCCCCCACCCCGGCTTCTCATATGGGCATCAGGTGCCCCTCCCAAGCGGCAGACCCGGGTCTGCACCAGCCTTGGGGGGGCGCTGCTCACAGAGCTGTCTGCTGCCTGGGCCCCCCCTCCATCCCCCTGGCTCCCCTCAGGCCCTAGGTGGCCGCCGCTTTGGGTGTCTCTTGAGTGGAAGGCGGTTTGTCAGTAACTTGCTTCCTCCGCTGTTACAAAGCGGAGCGCGGGGCCCTGTGTGCCCACGCCTGTGCCCCGTGCCGGGCTCAGAGAGGCGGGGGTAAGTGCCTGGTGAAATTCATCTCCCTCCCCTCCAAGTCCACCGATCCCACCGCGGCCCGCTGGGTGTCTGCCCCTCCTCTCCCTTCCGCCCCGCCCTCCTTGCTCACCTGGACGGTCTCCCCTCACCCACTGCCAGTCAGTTCCCGGCCCAGCACCCACTGCGCAGACACAGAGGCCTGGGCGTGGCATTCGAGGCTCCTCGGAGTGACCCCTCCTGGTTCCCGGCGTCCTACACCCCAAGCCTGTCAGGGAGCCGCCCCGCGGGGCCTGCAGCCCCTGCCTCTCCTGCCTGCAGGCAGCCTCCTCCGTCTCAGAGGCCAGCAGCCTTCAGATGGGAGCCGGCTCAGGAGCCACCGCCTCCAGGAAGCCCTCTGGATTCCCTCCCTCTCTGCAAGGACCATGTCCCCGCACTTTGCCGAGTCCCTTCCTGTGAGTCCCTCCCACGGCACACGCTGAGGTTCACCACCTGGCAGGCTGTGTGACTGGTGAGCAGGGGGCAGCTGGACACGCTGCTGGTCACACACAGGGCGGGCAGGGCCGTCACGCTCCTGGTGCCCCATCTGCCTTCCCAGCAGCACGGACTGGCTGCCCACTTCTCAGACGAGGAGACTGAGGCTCAGAGAGGCCAAGCTCCCTAAGGGAAGCCACAGAGCAGGCCCAGCAGCTGCCCGCAGGCAGCGGCCTGGGCAGGTTCCGGCCGAGGCCCTGCAGGGACGGATGGACAGGCGGGCGGGCGGGCGGGCGAGCAGGGCAGGGCCGCGTCCCGGTGGGCAGAGGATCTGAGCGCTGAGGGCTCGCTGGGGACGTGCCGGCTCTCAGCGAATCCCAGCGGAGCCGGGCGCCGGGTGCTGGTAGCCCGGTACTGTGGGCGCTGGCGCGGGAAGGCTGCTGGTCACACGTCCGGGCCGCGCGGCCTCTGCCCGGTCCTGCCTGTGAGATGGGGGCCCTGCGTGCGCCCGGCCCGCCGCGGTGAGGATGGAACGCTGGCCTGGCCGGGGCTGGGCCTCCGGTTCACGGCCAGGATCTCCGCACCCTGCTCCCGCCCACAGACTGAAAACAGGGAGACCTCGGGGAGTCTGATGGCCCCTGGGAAGCAGCTGTCCTAGGGCAGCGCCCGGAATCCGACAGCTGAGCCCACTCCCAGCCTTCGGGGGCTGCCGGGAGCTTGTGGGGCGCGGGGAGGGGGCACGGTGCAGGCGGCCCCACCCAGCCACTTCCGAAGCTCACCGGGGCCGGCCACGTCCTCCCTGGGCCCAAGTCAGGCAGCTGGAGCCGGGGCCTCGGGGGCCTCGGCGACCCCCAGGCCTGTCCTGCTGTTCTCGGGACCCGTGCTTACCAGCCTCTGTGCCCCTTCCCTTAAACCAGGGTGCGAATGCCCGGCCCGCGGGCCTATGAGGCCGAGAAGTCGCGTGGCCTGGCCCCGCGGGGTGTCATTACACGTTCGACCACATACCGCAGCCAGTGGGAGCGCTGACACGTGCAGGGCCTCGAATGATGTTCCAGCTCCCCACAGGGCTTTGGCCCAGAAAAGGGTCGTCCCGCCCCACCCCTCGCTCTAACCCTCTGGACCCCAGCCCACTCCCGTCCCCGGCAAACTGCGGCTCTGCTGACTAATGAGTTTGCCAGCCTCTGCGTAAGGCATTCCCCTCACCCAGAAGTTCTGACTGCAGGTTAAAGACGTTAGTAAGTTGTTATTAAAAGGTCTTTTAAGAGTTTTCCCCTAGCAGTGGTTGGCAAACTCATCAGTCAACGGAGTGGCAAACCGAAGCTAGCGAGCCGCAGTTTGCCGACCACGGCCCTACACCATGTGGCTGTGGATGACCAGGCCGCAGTCTGGCCCCTCAGGGGGTCCAGCCCCTCTGTGACCCACCCCACCGGCCTCCCTCAATTGCCCCTCCTGCCTCATGGCCTTCCTCCACCTCCCTCCTCCGACCCCCAAGAGGCCAGGCTCTCCCCCCACCTCCTGCTCCGGGAGGGTCCACCTGGCTGGCTGGTTAGCCACCCCCCAGCACAGGGGAGCAGGGTGCCACCTGAGGGACACGGCGTGGCCTTGCACTCTGTCCTCCTGTCTGTCTGAGCAGCCCCGCCCCCCGGGTCACCCACCGCCACCCCAGCCCCACCAGCTGCTCAGGGTGTGGTCAGCCCCAGTCTGTCTGCCCACCGGCCTCCGTGTCTCAGCCACACAATGGGCTCCTGTCCCCATCCACACACGGGCTCAGCGTGGCCTCCGAGGGGGGCGGTGGGCCCGGAGCCCTGCGGCAGTGACACTGAGGCGGGGCCATAGCTCTGCCTTGCCTCAGTCTCCCCCGCCCCCTCGGACAGCACCAGGTGGGGCCTGTCACCCTCAGGCAAACAGGCTGCAGGCGGCCCCACCCAGCACCACACCCAGCCGGCCGCCACAGCCCTCCTCGCCCCTCCCTGCCCACACGTGGGGTGGGGGTGGGGGACAGGCAGGACACCCCCCTCCCCGCGTTTCTTGCTGGTGGAGGTTCAGCTTTTCCCAGGTCCCAGTTGGGTAAACAAGCCCTGCTGAGCCCCTGGGGGGGGGGGGGCGGCCCTCATGTGACTTCTCTGCCCCCAAAACAGAAGTGAAACCCTGTTTGGTGGCCGCAGAGACCAGAGGGCGGGCCCAGCAGGGTGGGGCCAAGGTCCCTGCAGGCGACCTCCCCTCCGGAGCCTCCAGGAGCCCCCCCCCACCGGCCTCCCTCCAGTGGCCGCCCTCCTGTCCTCCTGGGCCATCCCTCAGAGGGCCCCCCACACCCCCCACCACAGGAGACAGGGCCACCTTCCAGCCTCCTCCCCAGCACTGACGGGCACAGGGCAGACCCCGGTGAGGCTCCGGGGCACCAGGATTGGGGGGGCCCCCCCGCTCGCTTCCGGGAGCCTCAGTGAGACACGCGCTCACACCTGGGTGCAGACCCAGGCCCTGCCCGCTGAAGACAATCGCCCCGCCTTGGAGGGGGTCTCTGGGGAGAGTGACCAGTGTCACCCGCACCCGAGGGCTCACAGGCTCCCCTGCTCCTGCCTGGCTCGGCGCCTCCATGCTAACATCGAGGTGGGGCGGGTGCTGGGCTCTCCAAACCTTAGCCCTGGGGCAGATCCAGGCCTGGCAAGGAGCAGGGCATCACAATGGTTAGCGCCCTCAGCCCCAAACGCAGGTGTGGGGGACCAGTGTTGGGGTCTGGGAGCTCCCTCCATCCTCATCTCAGAACATGACCTTCATGGCGCTGGAGGCCCCCACACTCCTGGGTCCTGACCTTGGGGGGGGGGGGCATATGGGACGCCAAGCTCCTTCTAACCTCCTGGCCAGCCCCTCGGTGGCTCCAGCACCGGGCTGGGCACCAGGAGACCCGGCCCACCAAGCAGCTGCGGGTTCGGGGAAACCACTCCCCACAGCTCTAGAGGACGGTCTGCAGGGGGGGCCGGGGGGGGGGGGCGCCTGGCACCCCGTCCTCAGGCGTGTCCCGCACACGATGGGGAGGAATGCACGTGGGCGCTCGGTGTCACCTGGGCCTCTTCCCAGCGCTAAGCAGACCTGCGTCCCTCGCCGGCGGACGGCACCCTGTGCACTGACTGCCCCTCGGACCCAGCCCGGCCAGGCCCAGGCCGGCGAGGAGCGAGGGAGGAGGGAGTGGGCGGACGATGAGTGGCTGGGCCAGGGCACGGACTCCATCCTCACAGACCGAGGCGGAGCCAGAGGGGTGTGGGGCCAGTCACGGACCGGAGCTGGCCGGGCAGGGCGGACCTCTGGGCCCAGAACCCCGAGAAGAAACTGGTTGTTTAGGTCCCCCAGTCGGTGGCCCCGGGGCCCGAATGCGGCCACACAGGTAAAAGGGTGCATCCGGACTCAATGGGTCAGCTCAGCAAGGCGGGCCGCTGCCGTCCTGCCCGCCCCGCCGGGTCACTCAGGGGCCTGGCTGTGTGTGTGTGTGTGTGTGGGCTGCTCCTCAGCAGCCGCCAGGCCCAGGAACAGATGGAGCTGACTCTCAAGTTCCCGTAAGTAAGAGGGACAGAGACCAGCGCGGGCCGCAGGGTGCCCCACCTCGGACACCGGGCAGGGCCTGCCACGAAGGGAGCCATCAGGTACCCGAGGAAGCCCCCCAAACCCCAACCCTGCAGGCACCCCGACAGGAGTCTGGGCTTGAGTTAGGGTGACAGGGGACCTACCATGTTATGGGTGAGGACCCTGAGGACCAGAGAGAAGTGACTTCTCAAGGCTGCACAGCAGGAAGAGGCAGCTGGGGTTCTAACTAAGGCTGCCGGCTCCCTCTGGTCCCCCACAGCAGACGCACGGAGGGGACGCTGTCTGGCCCCCGATTCTGGGAGACAGTGAGATCCCCCAACCAGAGTCCTTCCACTGTCTCCACGTGAGGCCTGTAAGGAGGGTGTGCATGCCGGGGACAGATGGGGAAACTGAGGCAGACACGTCCCGCCCTCCAGCCGTTTGCAGCTTGGCGGGGGCAGAAGACAAGGAGTCTGGGTGGGGCGGCCGCCTACCCACAGAGCAAGGTCCAAGCCTGGCCCGGCCCGGCCCGAGGCGCGTGGGGTGGGGTCAGCCTCACAGCCCCGGCAGCCTCCGCGGGTCCCCCTTTCCTCTCGGTGACGGTGTCTGTCTTGGAGGCCGCGGGCAGACAGGAACCCCGCTCAGCGAGCCCCGCCGCCCGGCCCCCAGCCCGGCTCTGCACACAGCGGGGCGGCGGGCCCCCAGGCCTCGGTCTGGCCGGGCGGGGGAGGGGTCGCAGGAATGCGGGCAGCTGCCCCCCGGCCGGCCGGCAGCTGGGAGCCGGGGCCGCCCCGGGGAAGCCGCCCGCCCCCCGCGATCGGCGCGCAGACAGGAAGCGGCGGCAGCCCGCCCGCTGCGCCCCGGCCCGCGCTCCCGGGCGCGATGGGAGAGACTTCCTGCCGCCCCGGCTCCGGGCCGCCGGGGCCGGCGCAGGGCCGCGGGGAGACCCGGGGGGGGGGGCACGGGCCCGCCCACCCGCCCCCGCGATCCCCGCCGGGCGCTCCGGCGGCGGGTCCGGGTCCGGGAACACGCTGCACTGAACTTCCCGCTCCGCCCCGCGCCGCGGCGCAGGAGTTCCTGCCAACGGAGCGGAGCCCCGGCGCCAGCCCCGGCGCGGGGCGCGCCTCCCCGCCCGGCGGCCCCTCGGCGGCCCCTCGGCGGCGCGGGCCGGGCTCCAGCCCCGGCGCGGGGCCGGGGGCGGGCGGCTTACCTGTTCCAGGTGGCGTTGGCGCAGGCCCGGCGCTGCTGGGTGCCCCGCTCGTCCGCGGCGGCGGCGGCCGGCTCCCTCTTGCCCAGGTCACTGAGGCTGGGCGAACTCATGAACTTCAACCTGCGGAGAGTCCGCATCGTGACCGGCGGCCCGCGCCGCGCCCACGCGCGTCCGGCGCCGCGCCCTGCGCCACGCGCCACACGGAGCCGCGGCCCGGCCGGCGCCGCGCCTACGAGGAAACTTGGGAGCGAGCAGGAAGCCGGGCGGCCCCGCGGGGTCCCGCCCCGGCCCCACGCCTCCGCCCCCGGCCCGGCGCCGGCCGGCCCTCCGGGTTAATCATTGCTCCGGGCGGCGGCGGCGGGAGCCCGGAGCCCCGCGGCGGGCAGCGCGGACCCGGCGCAAACAGAGGCCGGGGGCGGGGCCGGGCCGGGGCGGGGCCAGAGCCCGGGGCGGGGCCAGGGCGGAGGGCGGGGTCAGAGGACGGGGCGGGGTCAGGGCGGCGGGGCGGGGCCAGAGCCCGGGGCGGAGCGGGGAAGAGGGCGGGGCCTCGAGCTGCGGGCAAAGCCCGCGCCTCCGCCTCTAAACCCCAGCTCAGCCCCATCCAGGTGATGTGGGACCTGCTCCGCTCCTCCGAAGGCCCCACACGCCGGCAGGAAACCAGCGTGCAGGGTAGGAACCAGCCAGCCCCACCCCGCCCCGCCCCTGCGGACACGTCCACAGGATGCTCAGCGACTCCTGACCCCCAGAACTCCCCACTCCGCAGGGTCACCCCTCTTCCCTGCCCTCCCCACAAAGGTCACAGACAAAGCCTTCAGCCCCTGGGTGCCTCAGCCAGGACCCGCCGCCTGGCTCCCCTGCCGGCCTCCTATGGCCTGGAGGGGTGGCTAGATTGGGGGCTTTGGGGGGTCAGCAGTGGCTTTCCCAGGGGACAGACATGTAAAGCTGTTGCTACAGCCCCTGTCCCTTCCCAGGTCCCTGGAGACCCCATCAGAGGGAGCTCAGGCCAGTCTCCCTCTGGGAGTAGGGATGTCCCATTGCCCAGGTGAGACAGGCTCCGACGGTGAAATAACATGCCCCATGTCACACAGTCAACAAATGACCAATCACCAGGCCTCCTGCCCATATGGCACAGACTGCGCCCCCTCACCCCCCCCCCCAGCTTCTGGGATTCCCACAGGTTCGCCCCCTGCCAGGCCCCATCTTCAGGGGCCAGGACAGCAGTGCGGCCTGCCCGCCCTGCCCGCCCTGCCGGCCCCCCCGGGAGCTGTGCTGAGCGGAGCGGGTCCCGGTGCCCAGAGCCCTGACCGCTCCCGTGTGAGTCAGCGGGGAGAGGGGGCTGATCCCCCTCTCAGCATGAGAAGGATGCGAAAAGCCGCCCCCCATGTTGTACAGAGAGGGACACAGGCCCAGAGGCCACGGGGTCCCCGTGCCAGAGCGCGTGCCTCTGGCCCTCCACCCGGGATGGTGGGACCAGAGCACCGGCCGCAGGAGGGAGGCTCCGCACTGCGGTGAGGGTGAGCCACCTCGGTGCGCGGTGCAGGGCCACATGGCTCCACTCAGACGGGAGCCTGGACCTCGGCGTGGAGGACGCAGGGGGCCGGAGGCTAAGCGGCTTCTCTTGTGGCTCCCGAGCCAGGAGAGCCCCTCGAGGCGAGGAAGAGCCTTGTGGGAAGACGCTGTCCAGTTGGGGTCGAACAGCGCTTCCTGAGTGCCTACTACGCGCCAGCCATGGCCCTCTTCTAGGGAGGCAGAGTCACGCTGACAAGCTGGGGCTCTGAGCCAGGATCCGGGCGTGGACTGTTCCCAGAGCTGCCGCCCAGGGCTGAGGCCCTGACCTCTCACCTTCACCCCGTCACCTCACTCACTCACTCACTCACGGCGGCTTTTCACCCCTTTGGAGGTGTCTGCGATGCTGCTCCCTCCGCCTCCACCGTCACCTCTGCAGGCAGCGCTGCTGGCATCCGGCCAGGATGACAGACACTCCGCCCCTGCCCCCTCCCCGGGCCCCAGGGTGACCAGAGAGGTCCTTGCTGGGCACCCCAGTGGGTTCCCATCGCCTGGTGACCAGGCCAGAGCCTGCAGCCTAGAGAGGGCCTCCCACCTGCGCCCTCGCCCCAGCCCCAGGCTGCCTCCTCTCCCCTCCCCTCACTGCCCCTCCCCTGAAGGAGGCTCAGGCTGCCCTCCAGTCTCATGGCTTTTCATCCTATGCCTTAAGCCACACTGTGGTGACTGACTTCTACACCCCGGCGCCCCACGCAGTAGGCCCGCAGTAAGCACACAGTAGGCACGCAGGATGGGTTGAATGGCTGGATAAACACCTGACTCACGGAGGGAGGGATGAGACTAGGTTGGTGCAAATCCCTGAAGGTGCCCCCCTGGACAGAGGAGACAGAACAGGGCACTGCCCCTGGCGAGGGGCAGAGAGCCAATCGGGTGGGCGGGGTGGGGAGGGGTGGAGAGAGGCTTTCCTGAGCTGGAGGCGGGTCCTGGGGAGAGGCAGGCAGGCTCTGGCTTCCATCAGCCACTGATGGGAGAGCGCCCCACTGGCCTGCTGGCTGGCCTGCCTAGATAGGGAGTCAGGGAACATGGGAGCAGGAGGGGGGAGGGGGGCCTGGGAGGGGTCAGGGGGGGAGGGGGTCTGGGGGGAGGTGGCCGTAGGAAATTCCAGAGGGAGGAAGGGCCCAGGGTTAAAGGCAACTACAGTCAGAGCTAAGGAATGAGCTGTGGCCCCAGGCCCAGCAGTCACACACGCAGCCCAGGGCTGGGGCAGCAGGGACTCAGGGTGCGTTTGTGACCGGCAGAGGGGCATGGTGGGGGTGGGGGGCTGACAGCCACAGCGCCTGAGGGGAGGCCAGAGGGACAAAGCCAGCACAAACCCCAGAGCGGGCCTGGGACCCAGGGCCCACGTCCAGCCCCTGACTCGCCCCTGACTCGTCCTGCACTGCCCTCAGCGGGGGGAGGGGGCCAGCAGCAGGGGGAGGGGCCGCAGCGGGGGGAGGGGCCTGCAGTGTGGGGGAGGGGGCCGCAGTGGGGGGAGGGCCTGCAGTGTGGGGGAGGGGGCCAGAACCCAGAGCCGGGGCCACGGGCTTCAGGGCCAGAGGCTGGAAGGAAGCCCTGACTCTGGCTTCTCGGGCGTCAGATGCCCGGGCCTCGGGCCCAGGCCCCACGGGACGGCCTCACTGCGCTGCCCCCGCAGGCAGGCAGCCACTCCCCTCCCGGGCCTGGGGAGGGGTGGGACCGAACAGCTATATGGAGGGGCCAGGGCAGGCCCCTCGGTGCCTGAGGCTCCGGGAAGGGAAGCGCCCTCTTAAAGGAAAGGGAGGCGGGGGGGGGGGCACTCATGCGCCCCCAAAGCTGCCTGAGGACCACGTCCCTGCCACAGGGGTCAGGAGCAGGCACAGGGCCTGTCCCCAAGGAGGACCCCGTCCCCAGGGCTGGTCCTGAGGGAGAGGGAGCCCTCAGTCAGGCGGCCAGGCTTGGGTCAGGTCAAGTGACTGCTAGGCCTCAGTTTGCCCACCTGTAAGATGGGTGAGCTCCAGGGCTAGACTCCTGCCACACCACCAGCTGCCATGGGGGGGTCTGAGGGGCAAAGAGAACCCGGAAGCCGTCCAAGGCCACGTGCGCCCCTGGACGGGCGGCTGAGATGGCGACCCCGGTGCCCGGTGCTGGGACCTGCGGGGCAGGATGGCCTGGCTCCCGCGGGAACCGGGAATCAGGGTCCCCGGGGCCAGAGCATGGCAGGGGCCCTGGGCTCTGCGGACCCTGAGCCGGTACCACCCTCCGCTCTGCGTCTCACAGGCGGGCGGCTGGAGCCCCCGCCTTCACCAGCTCCCTACCCCCAGCCTGTGTGCGCGGGGTGGGGTGGGGTGGGAGGAGGGCAGAGCCAGGCGCTGCCGGGCAGGGGAAGGCAGAGAAACCGAGCTTGGGAGTCAGAGTCAGAGTCAGTGCCGAAGCTCGAGGCAGCAAGCTGAGCCCAAGAGCCTGTCCCCAGCCCTCTCACGCCTGCAACAGCGACCTCAGCCCTGCCCACCCCGGGCACTGCCCGCTCTGAGGGGCACCTCTGCCCCCTGGTGGTGAGGCCCAGGGCTCCCCAAGCTGCAGGGCAGGTCCTCCCGCTGGCTGGGAACCCTGGTCAGGCGACACGGGGAGGGGCTCAGCAGTGTGCCAGCCACCAGGCGCCCTCTCATCCCTCCTCTGGTGGACAGGGTGGCACCGCGCCTGCCCCCGAGGGGTGAGGTGGGGCGAGACAAGTCATGTGCTCCTCGGGTGCAGCCAGCTCCCACGCCGAGGACAGCTCGCTGCCAAGGCCCTGCCAGAGCGGCTCCGCACAAACAGCAGCCGGCTTCTTCACGGTAACCCACCTCGCGTCAGAGGCGGCGGCTGCCAGGATGGCGGGGGGAGGGGGTGGGGGGGTGGGGGAGGGAGAGGCCGCCGCCAGGGGCCCCTCCAGCCTCGGACCAGAGGATGGCCGCTGCCTGCTGGGCTGCCCGGACCCCAGCTGGGTGCAGAGACCGCAGCTTTGCTGTGGCTGAGGAGCTCAGCTGGTGAGCGCCTCCCCTTACACAAAGGTTGTGGGTTCGATCCCCCGTCAGAGCACATGTAAGAATCAGTCAATGTGCTGTATGCATAAACAGATAAGGGGAGCACCATATCCACCCCCCCTCTCCCTCTCCCTCTCCCTCTCTCCTCCCCCCTCTCCCTCTCTCCTCCTTCTCCTCCCCCCTCTCCTTCCCCTCCCCCTACCCCTCCCCTCCCCTCCCCTTCCCCTCTCTCCACCTCCCTCTCTCTCCATGAAAGGGGGAAAGGCAGTCTCCCGTGGGCTGAGTCCTGGGGCTGCTCCTCCTGTTGTGGGTAGTGTGTTCCCCAAAAGGACAGGCTGAAGTCCGGACCCCAGACCTGGAATGTGACCCTGTTTGTTTTTTAAAATCTATTTTTATTGATTTCAGAGAGGAAGGGAGACCGAGAGAGACAGAAACATCAACGCTAGAGAACCACTGATCAGCCAAGGCTGCCCCCTGCACGCCCACTACGGGGATGGAGCCCGCAACCCAGGCCCGTGCCCAGACCGGGAACAGAACCGCGACCTCCTGGTTCACAGGTCGACGTTCAACCCCTGAGCCACGCCGGCCGGCCCGGC